CGGCGGCGCTCCAGCCGAGGGTTCGGATCCCATGTGGAGACCGGTTCCCGCTCACTGGCTGTGTGTGGTGCGGGCGCAACACTGAGGGTTGCGATCCCGTTGCCGGTCCCCCGTACGGGCGCGACACTGAGGGTTGCGATCCCGTTACCGGTCAGTAAAAAAGACAAAAAGGAAAAAAAAAAAAGAAATGACAACAAAGGATTTACAGTATTACATAAATTTAGTTGATAAAGTAGAAGCAGGGTTTGAGAGGACTGACTCCAATTTTGAAAGAAGTTCTACTGTGGGTAAAATGCTATCTATCAAACAGCATCACATGCTACAGAGAAACCTTTCATGAAAGGAAGAGTCAATTGATAGGGCAGACTTTATTGCTGTCTTATTAAGAAATTGTCACAGCCACCCCAACCTTCAGCAACCATCACCCTGATCAGTCAGCAGCTGTCAACATCAAGGCAAGATCCTCTGCCAGCAAAAAGATTTAGACTTGTTGAAGGCTTAGATGATTGTCAGCATTTTTTAGCAATAAAGTATTTTTTAATTAAGGTATGTAATTGTTTTCTGAGACACAATGCTATTAACAGACTACAATATAGTATAAACATAACTTTCATATGCACTGGGAAACCAAAAAATTTATGTGACTTGTTTTATTGTGGCAATCTGGAACTGAACCCACAATATCCCCAAAGTATGCCTGCATATTTGTATCCATATTTAAGTATGCATAACATCTTTCCTGAAAAGAATCTCACTGAAAACTTTCTGAGAAGCAATTCTAAGTGGGCGGAAAAGATGGAAGAAAAAAAATAGAAGAAATTCAGTATCATTCTGGGTGCTTTTGGTATTCGATCTGAATAATTCTAAATTATTCAGTTTGAATAATTCTAAACTATGAGCCTTGTTAAAATGACTATCAAAAGAACATTTGTCATTTTAAACAAAACATTCCCGAATGTGTGGAAGTGATATCATTAAGATGGCAAAGTAGGAGATTCCAGCCTCCAGCACCCCACAATTCTAAACTATGAGCCTTGTTAAAATGACTATCAAAAGAACATTTGTCATTTTAAACAAAACATTCCCAAATGTGTGGAAGTGATATCATTAAGATGGCAAAGTAGGAGATTCCAGCCTCCAGCACCCCACAAAAAAACAAATACAGATAGCTATTCACAAATCAAAACAGCCCAGAGAGTGCTCAAGGACCCCTTAAAAAATGTGCAGAAACACTGTGGAGCAAAAAGTATGGAGATTATGCAAATAGAAAAAATCACTGGTGCGAGTGGCATATTTGAGACACCAAGAGATCGCCAGGGACAAAGAAGAAAGGCCGAGGAACTCTCTTAGCGGGAACCACCATGTCCCCAGCAACCTGCTCTGCAGAGGAAACTGGTATCTCTTGCAAATGAGGTAACCAACAACCATTCCTAACAACCCCACAGAAGGAGATGTGGCTGCACACCTCTCTCCCTATAAAGAAGAGGCCAGTGTTGAACCACTTGAGGAAAGGAACCACCACCTCTCCCAACCCCATGAGTGTCCCAGTCCCGGAGCCATAGCCACTCTGAGAGTGCCCACATCTTAGACCCAGGATCCGTGGCTGCACTGGGCTCACCCATGTCTCGGACACAACAGTCATTGCCATAGCAAGCTAGTCTGCACTCAAGGTAGAACCAAGGGCAGGCTCAGCCGCCATAGAGAGCAAGATCCCGCCCCAACCCCGGAGCCACCCTAACTCTGCACACATCTGCGTTCTCATTCTTGGCTCCCGGCTACTTCACAAGCATCCGTACCTTGCATACTGTTACCAGTGCAGCAGCAGGGGTGCCTGTGCACCAGGCAACAGTGCCATTACCACCCCAGATCCCAGAGCCTGTAGTCTCTCTGTGCGTGCCTGTGCTTAAGCTTCAGCTCCATGGCTGTTCTATGCGTGCCACTCATTAGACACTAGTATCACCACCACTGCATGTGAGCCCCCAAGGCAGACCCAGTGCAAAGAGGGGTCTTCTCAGCCACAACTTTTCATAAATGTGAGGTAATGCATATGTTGAACAGCTTGATTTAACCATGTATATCTGTAATTCCACAACGTATATATGTATCAAAACATCACGCTGTAAACCATAAATATACACAATTTTTACTTGTTAATTAACAAAAGGAAAAAAAAAAAAAACCACTACAGTTACTCTAACTGCTATGCAAGTTATTACAACTTTTTTCAAATTAATACTAAGACAGTTATACGAAGGTTCTTACCTGCCTGAAATTTGTAACTGCTTTAACAACAGGGGAAGCTGTTACCAGGAGAATATCTTCTGATGGAAACTGAATAGCCAACTTATTTTTAAAAAGAGAGAGAGAGAGAAAAAAAAAAAACAGGATAAATAACTTTAGGTATTGGTATAAATCATGTGTATGGTACAAATGATGTGTATGGGGGGATGGGGATAATGCAATTTTAATAATGTTATTAACACAGGAAATTAAAAACCCACTGTTCCTCATCTAAACGTCTACATTATCCTGGATCTTGTTCATGGGGCAGTGATGAGTAATGTTAAACTCTGATATTGAAAAAATGAATAATACATTTATACTAAACATTAACAAAGACCTCCCAAACAAGAAAAGTAACATGAAGAAGTTCCCCCTATTTACTTAAACTATTCTGTATTCCAATTTAAAGTTATTGTACAGGATGAGAAGAAACTACCTTCCTAATTAACAGTTAAAACTAACTTCTGTTTCTTTTAAGACAGCATTTTCATTTGCTATCAATGGGATGAGGTGAAAGCACTCTCAATATTAAACACTTAGAATCTTAGTCTGACTTTTCCCAAGTGCTGTGGCACTCTCCTATTCTGCCTCTTCCAACTGGTATATATTCTGAGAAGACAAAGCCATTTTAATATAGCTTTAAAAAAAATAAGAAGTTTAACTTGCTATTTTTTCATTATTTTCCTCTAGCTACAACCTCACTTTGAACTTTTTGAGAGCATTCTCTTATCTCCCCATCTGGTTCCTCAGCTCCACCAACCTCTATAATCTGGCTTCTGTTCCTACTATAGCACTAAAACTGAGCATGCTCAAATTACCTATACATCTTTAAAATCCATAGGATTCAATCTTTTTATTCTTACCTTCTTTGAACTTTCTACAATATTTACCTACTATAGCACTAAAACTGAGCATGCTCAAATTACCTATACATATTTAAAATCCATAGGATTCAATCTTTTTATTCTTACCTTCTTTGAACTTTCTACAATATTTAACAATAGTATCGTTCTCTCCATCTTATCTTGGTATATTCTGAATTTATCTACATCTTTTCTATTTCCATTGCTAAATAAGGTCCTCAAAATTTTTTCATACTACTGAAATCACCTTCAAATTGGCCTTCCAGTCTTATATATTAACAGCTACCTCTGCCCCAAACACATAACCCATCATCTTTCAAAATTTTTAATTCAGTCATGTTGCTTCACTGCTCAAATCACATGACTAATTTGAAATTCTTACATTCTTAGCATAATTTATAAGACTCTTTCTGACCTGATTCTGCCACCCTGCCCTGCTTCAATCTCTAGTCACCTCTCCCAAGCTCCTGGATGGTGCCATGCTTTTCCACTGGAGAGTATATTGCCTACATTTGGAATGTCTTTCTTTTCTTGTCTATCTAGTGAACTTTCACTCGTTCCTTCATACTAACAGGATACCTCCTTAGAAAAAATATAACTCTTCCCTAATTCAATCCCTGTCAACTCCACAGACAGGCCTAAGACAACGGGTAACACAATGATTAAATGATCCATTTATATATGTCTCTTCCATTAGACTGTGAGTCCCTAGTATGGCGGTACCATGCTGTTTATATTTGACTACTGGGCCCTTACGAAAGTGCCTGGATCATAGGTGTTTTGTTTATTTTTGAATAAACAAAAAATATACACGTAAAGATTAAAAGTTAAAAAACACTGGAATTTCTGGTATTATTTCTTATGACCTCAGTTTCCTTTTTTCAGCTTGTTTACTTTATATCAACAAAATACTCTAGTCCTTTCTGGAATACACACACGTAAATGAATACATATGGCCTGGTTATTCACTCTAAGAAAAGCATTTCCTGCGTGTATTTAATCCTGTGCGGATAGGAGTTTATTAATTAGTTACGATTCACTAAAGACTTGGCAGGACCAGGGCCTCGTTCAGCCAGCTTTGCTTTTCCCCACTGTAATTTTCTCCCCAGTCCTCCCTGCGCCTGAGACAGAGCTTGCGAGGTGCTGAGGACATCATCTGGGGACTACCACGCAGTCTCTAGTATAGAAAGAGTGCGCAGAACCGGCGCGGCGAAAGAGGGACCCGGAAAATGACAAGGTGGGGAAGAGGCCGACCTCCGGCGCCACCGCCTTCGGGGTCGGGGAGGAGGCGGAGCCGCCTGTGCGCCCGCCCTACCTGCTCCGCGCAGGTGACGCCCGCGATGCCGCCGCCGACCACCACGAACTTCCCCGCCGTCGACGGAGGGCGCGCTGCCTCCATGCTCACCGACTCCTAGTGGGGTGCTGAATAGGGTGGGAGCCACTGGACTCTTCACGGCCGTGGAGGAAGCCGGCGCGGGGCGTTCACTTCCGGTGCCTGAGGCGGAGACTCCGGCCTACGGGTGCCCGGGAGCTCACACTTAGTCCTCCTGCGTATCCGCCAGGAGACGAGTTTCAGACGCACGGAGGCGTAGTTTCCGGGGCTTGGCGTTCCTACTACTACAAGTGAACGCCGTTTTCCCGCAAGGATTTGATAAACAAAAGAAAAAATAAAATAAAGACGGGTCGCCAAAAGAGGTTTGGCAAATTGCTTGTCTGAGGATAGACTGTCGTCTCACGGCGCAGAGCATCCGTAACATAAATGAATTGCCCTGAAGTTCCCGCTGTCGTTCCTGCGAGAAGTGAGACGGAGGCGCGGATCTTCAACTCTTACTGGTAGAAGGAGCCTTCGGGGACGTCTTGCTCGCCCACTCCTCTGCTTTTGTTGTTGAAGAAACTGAAGCTTCTGAAAACCACTCGATTGACACTCTTCACCTAAAGATCCAAGATTTGTTTATTTGTGGAAGCATGAACATTGTTCTTGACAAGGCAAAGCAGTACCACTGAACTGTTCTTTAAATGACATTTCCATTTACAGTTTTGACCTCAACCAAATTTCTGGTAATACATAGTTTCTCACCATTGTGCCAAAATAAACGAACATTTCTCCCAAGTTTCCAGTAACGAGCAGCACGTGTGAGGGCTGAGTGACATAGTCCCAATCTTTATTTTACTGTTACTAATATTTTTTTTTATTGTGGTGTTAGCTTGTTCTGAGTAACAGCTAAATTATTTTTAACTATTTTTTACTATATTTACATTATTCACTGTTTATATTATTTTACTACTTACTATTTGCTGTCTCATACTCATATTTTTCCTAGGAGTTGTCTTGTAACTTTAAGGTACAATTTCTCAAATGGCTCACTTTACAATTGGTTATTACCAATGCCCCTTTAATTCTTTAAACTGAGAATAATCATTCCATGTAAACGGGAGAACATACCACATATCTAATTACAGGTGTTTACTGATACCCATACTCATTTACTAGTTCAAATGGTCAGCAGTTCAATAAGTGAGCCTAATTCCTGTAACTAGTTTAGACAACCCAACAAAGCATCTCTAGGAGGAAGAAATAATACTTTAAGCCCATGTAAATTTAATCTTGCCTACTTCTCCAGTTTATTTTCACATGATCTCACACTGCTCCATTCAGATTGAACTACACTTGGAGTTCTTGAGATTTGCCATTTTCTTTCTTTTTGGAGCATTTACGCATATGAGGGTACTTCATAAAGTTTGTGGAAAAATAGAATTAAACAATAATACGAATACTTCTATGAACTTTTTAAAGACCCTGTGTACGTCTCCCCAACTACTTTTTTTAGCTAACTCCTCTTTGAGCTTTGGTTTCATCAAGTCATCACTTCCCCTAAGAAGCTTTATCTAATGTCCTCAAGACTGAGCTAGGTGTCCTCTCTGTGTTCCAATAGCACCTTGTCGTCTCCTGAATTTAGACTTATCAGACTTTATTGTATTGTTGTGAGGCGTCCTCCCACAAGAAAAGGGCAGTTTATTCACTCCAGCTGGCCAGCGCCTGTCTCCGGAGGAGCAACCAAGGAAGAGCGGTCTTGTGGGGTTTTTAAAGGCAAAAACTACATCCCGTTGGCACGCAGGTTTGTCCAGGTGCACAAAGCAAGCTAGGGAGCTAAGTTACAGAAGCCAAGAATGAGCTGTTCAAGCAGTCAAGCATACAACTTTTCATTGCGTATGTTCCCATGTAATAGTTTACTGTGTATGGCTCCGGTTTCTATGCAATGGCTTTTGTTTCTATGAGAAGGTCAACGGTTTCTCATGCAGAAGTGGGGGACGTAGTCTGCAGGTCAGACAGGGTAAAATGGAGGTACTTAGGTTAAGCAAGCAATTCTACAGAAGCAGATAGCGTACGTTATGAGGGTGTAGGGAGCTCTGTTTCAGTAACTACGTATTACTTGACCTCACCACCACCATAAACTTCATGTCAGGGATTATTACCTGTCTTCTTTTGTATCTCCAATGTTCGGTTAGTAGTAGGTGTTCAACAAAAATGTGCTGAATGAATTAGGAAGTGGGTGGAACATGAGACTGCCCTGAAGTTCTCATAAAGACTTTTAGATTTATTGTCCAGGGTCAAGATCTTCCTGTATATTGTGACAGCTCTTTTCCCTTGTTTGAAGACTGCCTTTTGTGAAAGAGTTGTAGTGATAAGACGTAGCTTCCTCCCACATTGGCCTGAGTATCCAACATTTAAAAATGTGTAAGTGTTAAGGAACTTTCAGGGAAGAGCACTAAGAAAAGGCTAGCAGTGTTGATTGATTTAATTAGAAAAGTATGCTGGATGTGGGATTGGTAAAAAGTAAGGTATACATAACTTTGAAACATGGATTTCTCAATAAGGGCAGCAATAGGTAAAGGTTAGCAGAAGGGCAACTGCAGAGAAAACGAGGCTCCTAGACATAAGGGAGGTTTAATGTCAGGAGGCAGCAAAGGAGCAGAAAGGATGATGTTCGTTCCCTTTCAACTCTGGTCAGGAAGTGTAGCAGGGAAGGGTGTACCAACCTGGTGACTGTTTCTGAGGAGTCAAAGATTAGTGCATTGCTAAATATTATGATGGAAAAGAGTAGTGGGGACTGGAGTTGAAAAGGAAGGCTTCATAGAAGAAGTGGAATTTATACAGAACCTCAAAGGCCAAGTAGCATTTGGATAGGTTGAGGAGAACAGTGTGGCGACTCAGGTAGGAAATATCTTAAAAACCAAAGGCTTAGTGGCAGAAATGAGTGTGGACAATACAAGAGAAGGTTAAAAGCTCGTGAATTATGGATTCATCTGGAAAAACTGAAGGAGATAGTCTTTATCTTATATTTCCTTCCTTGTCTTTTTTTTCTTCCTTAATTTTCTTATTCTTATTTCCATCGTCACCTACTTCCCTTGAAGGTCATCTCATAACTTCTAAACTATTAAATCAAAACCTAGCTTCCAATTCTTCTGCAAGCCTATTTTCCAAATTAATATTAAATTTCCAAAATAAAAGGAATTAGATTAACTTATTGAGCTTCTTGGCTGAAAATTGGGAAAGAACAATAAAATTTCATGGAGTAGTTAATAATTAACAGCTTTTGAGTCAGATAACCTGGGTTCAAATGTGGCTTCAACATTTCTTTGCTGTGTGATCATTCAGTGAGTTACTTACAGCATCTGAGCCATTGTTTCCTTGTTGGCAAAGTGGGTATAAGATCTACTTTGTAGAATTGTTTCAATGTATGTGTAACATATTTAAACTTCCTAGCACGGTGTGTGTCACCTAGTGGGATCAATGTTACGTCATCTACCTGTGCACTGTTGAATAGTCTATATCTCTGTCTGAAGGATTTTATCTATCCTCATAACCTCATTGGGTTTACAATACTTTTAACTCCCAAATGTCTGCCTCATGTCATCTACTCTGAGTCCTCAAACCTGAAATTTCTGAAGCTTCCTGGATGTCTTCTCATGGTCATCCCAATCTCAAATTCACCAGGAATCCAAACTGGGTTCGTCTTCATCTCAAAACTTCTTCTTTGCTTTTATTAGATTATGTAACTGTTTTATTGAACAAGCTAGATTTTTATAGGTAATGACCTGGAAAAAGATCCTGAGGCACTAGTAACTCACCAGAGAGTTTATTTGAGCCAATATGAGGACTGCAGCCTGAGAAGACATAGATTCAAGAGAACTTGAATCATGTATTCCAATTTTCAGGCCAGATCTCAGTATTTTTATAATCACAGAGAAGTGAAGAGCAAGAAGAGAAAAGGGGACAGCTCCTTAATCAGCACATCAATTTTTTTATTGGTTACACAGCACCACATAGGCTGATTGGTTCTGGGGTGCATCCTAGGTACAGATGTATGAGTGAGGGTCACTAGATACATTGTCAGCTTTCCTAAGTTATGCACCTTCTTTAAACAACCGTAAGTCTGGTGGCATGTTAACAGTAGCTTGTGGTAACAGTTCCAGAATGTGTGGACGTGGACGTAGCTATGGTCCTGTTCCAGTTTCCCCAAGGCTATTAGGAATTCAGCTAATCTCAAAGCAGATTTCTGATTTATCACAGGGAACAAGTAAAAGGAAACATTTTTATTCCTCACCATTTTTTCTGTGAATGTGTTTTTCTCCTCTAAATTAAATTCTTGTTAGGCCTCAGAGCTTTTCTGATCATTCTCAAGTAATAAAAAGTATGGTGCTACCTATTATCTCTTCCCATTAAAGCTTCACTTAACTGCAGGCAGTCAAGTGTGGTTTCTTTTCACTTTCTTGCCCCCGCTTTTCTTCTGACATGGAGCTAATGTTTTCAGCAGGTTTAAAATTCGAGGTGGATAAGCAGTAAGAGGAGGAAAGATTTTCCTTTACTGTAAATCAGTGCCATGGTACAGCTGTGAATCTGTGAGAGCTGATCATTAAGATTTCAGGAATTATGTGAGCTGATTGTTAACACGGCCATTGTTAAACTTTAAATTATATAAACTTATAATTAAATAAGTTACATTAAAATAAAGGTAATAAATATTCAAAAATTATTTTCTAATTGTTTTATCTCTACTCTTGAGGCTCCTTACATCTATTATATCTATGGATGATATGCTAGTGCACATTTCTTCCCAGTGGCTCATTCAGTGATGTCACATTAATAACTTGAAATTGGCCATGATGGGAATATTTACACCATGGAAAATGGCAAATGATACAAGTAAGGGCTTGATTTATTGTACTGCTGATTGCCTAGACTTTAAAAAGTGATGGAAAAGATGTTAATAATGAAAATGAAAAGTGTGTTGTGTCTATTGTGGTATGTTGCAGTACATTGTGAATAGCACAAAAAATTGAGGAAATATTCTTCCAGTATAAGAAAACAACTATGCAATTCAGCAAAGAAGTCATTGACATTATAGGCAAACAAGTGAAATTCCAACCTACATTTTCTTTGTTTCATTTCCATCTTACTTGTGTTAGT